AAAGCTGTATATAGGGATATTCTAAACTTCACAACCTTCAAATTACAAAGGTTCAAGATAGAGAGAGTTGTGAAGGGTGGATTTATTAATTTTTTTATCCATTTGTTTTAAAAAATTACTTTTGTAAGGCAAATTTGTAAATATTACAACAAGACAAAAGGTATTTTTGTTGTCTCCATAAAGGGTAAAATTGAAATTTTAACTAAAAGACAATGACATTCTACAAATAAAGTTTCAAGACACTAATTTCTAAAATGCCATTGTACTTTTGTAAAAATTTCAATTTTTTTCGTGCTTAATGGTAAAGTTACTTATTTAAATATTTTTTTAATAAAAAATAATGATTGTTTTGATAAATACACCCATCACAACCTCTTCTAACTTGAACCTTTTTTATTTTGAGGGTTTGTTATATATATATATATACATATATATATATATATATATATATCAGTATTCATGGTGAGTTTTGGCAAAATTTTGTATTGGCTGCCTACCTAACACAACCATGCTCTTTTACCCAGACATGGGATGGATTAAAGGAAAGTTTAAGGTCATCACCCTTCTTAGACAATGAATGAATGACAAGACAAGAAGGGATAAAAATTGAAATAATTTTATTCAAGAGAATTTAAACGTGAAATTTATAAGCGATAAAATGAGAGAGAGTAGACTTAGGTGGGTTGGCCATTTGTGGCGCCGACCAAGTACAACACTGATTAGATGTGAGTTAGTTCAAGTAGAAGGACTGAAGAAAACAAGGGATAGGCTTAAAAGAATATGGTTGAAAGTAATTTGAAAAGATATGAGGACTTTTGGTCTCACTTAATATATAACCATTAATATAACAGAATGAATAACCACGATTATACATATGTAGCCGACCCCAATTAATTTGAAAAATGTTAAAATGATGATATATATATATATTCCAAATCCCCACAGTATAAACTTCTATTTTTATTTTATTATTCAATATTTTCTTATTACCAACTTGGATTGATCCGGACCGTGTTCCTGAGATCCAACGAGGATCTATAGAATAAAACGATCCAACCCACCTATCCGACTTTTAAAACACTATGTTCGACCGATCTGTAACGCATTTACGAGCAATTTGATTGGTGTAGTGGTGGGCTACCCCAATGCTTTGAATGGGAATAAGGTAGGGTTCAATGGGATTTTATAAGCCTTAAAATCCAATCAAAATGGGCGACACCCCATTCCTTATCAGAAAATAATGTCATTTATCTTGAGCCTGGAGTAAAAAAAGGAGAAGGTTAAAATACGGTCAAAGTTTTATAGAAAAGTAAGGCTGGGTCAAAACTTACAGACAATTATAGATCTCATTAAATCTTCAAATTGACATCTCTATCTTAGTATACTGTAAAAGAAACGAAAAAGGATTTTCAACCAAATAACAGTACATATTTACAATACATCATCTCGACGGAAAATTGTTTCATGCATGCTGGATCGCATTTCTACACGGATGTATATATATAGTCTAGAAAGTGTAAAGCATCCATCTTAAAAGATGGATGCAAGTAGGTGTTCGGTCTAAAAACAATGAAAACTAATGGTCTAAATATTTTCTTACTAGCATTATTATTTTTATTTCTTTAAATTTATTTATTTTGTCATATTCATGATCTCCATGTTAGAGATTATATGTCCTTAAAACTTAAGTCTTAAAATCCATCTCAAAAATAGATTTAGTAAGAGGTCCGCATTTGTACATATATGGGCTTGGCTGCAAAGAAACAGGGTCCTATCTAGACTATCCATTTTCAAGTATTCATGGATCTGCGATTTTTTAAGCTATAAATTTTGTAATCGTGGTGGAAATAGATTTTAGTGCCATTTTAAAGATTTCCTTCACCCAAAGCAATTTCCCGACAAGATTTTTTGGTGAGGCTATACTTCTTCAATAATAATAATAATAACAATAACAATAACAATAACAATAATAATAATAATAATTTTTTAGGTTAAATTTCCTACGTTAACATTAAAAAAAAAAAACGTAAGCGCATTAAGGACCATTGTCAAAAAAAAAAAAAGAATGTAAGCAGTGACGATCTATATTCATGAGTGTCATTGTTCTCCGATCATTGGATGGATTTCTAGTGGCGACAGAGGCAGTGGAGCCTACTACAATATATCTGTGGCCTTGGTGGGAGGTTCACTCTCTTTCCACCACCATCCACTTTAGAGTGATTCCCACATGAATGAACTGTTCAAACGGTCGACTGTCGTCCTCCATGATGGACGGTTGAAATGCTAAATCATGAAAAGATCTAAGTCACATCATGGAGGCATATTGTCTATTTATTCTCTCGGGTAAAACACCATCTACAAGTATTTTTAAGACCTTAATTTTTGATAATGTTACTAAAAGTAAAGAAAAACATGAAACATGGATACATATTGTTTATTTATTCTCTCGAGTAAAACCCCATCTTGGAGTTTTTTTAGGACCTTGAATTTTGAAAATATTACTTATTGAACATAAACAAACATGAAAACATTGATACAAAACAAAATTCAAATCACACTCCAGTCGTAAATGCGAATTCTAAGTGTTGAAGAGCCCAAAATCAATTTTCTTTTGTTTACGAATTCATATGGCGATTTTTGGGTGGATACCGAAATTTCCAAAAAAAAAAAATCTGTCATGTAGCTTTTACATCTGGGAAAGTAAGCGCAAAAAAATTTGCGAACTCAAAATCTAGCACCACATGACAACGGCCAAAACCCGACACAGTTTCTGTAACCACAAAACTTTCTTTTTAAGATTATTGATCTAAAACGGTTATGTATAGATGATTTCCCAAAACTAAAGGCATGCATTAATGTATTTGGTATCGCAAATAATTTACTATTTCAATAAAATTAATCTTAATAATAGATTATCTATTTTATAGATAGTTTCACATATAAGTTTATCTTTATGAAAGGTAATTTTTTATTTTATTCATAGTAATTTGTTTAAAATTACATAGTTTTAGTCAAATAACTAAAAATAGATAGAACTCGATGAAAAAGTTGAACAATAAAAAAATATGATACATAATATAACTTGCCCAAATATCTAATAAG